TCTCGGAACATGGTTTCAATTGACCCGCTCGCAAACAGCTGCGTTCTATAAGTACTAGGAAACGACCGTGAAATATATAGATATAACTGCTCATATAACTGCTCAACCCAATCTATCGATGCTCTGATGTGCTGTTCGCCTTGAGGCGTTCTCTGCTCTGGCGCTGGTGGTGAGACACGGCGATAAAGAAGGCCGTCTCTAGTGTAGGCCAATCAGTTTCAAAGGCAATGCCCATAGACAATTATCATAGCACGTCCGTTTGCATGTTTTTGCCACAAGTACTGCGTGTGGTTAATGCAGGACTTGATGCCTTGCAAGAGATTTATATTTGGTGTTTGAACATCTTAACACCTCCAGTTTTATTGCCAGAAATGGTAAAATAAAAAATATATTATTATTTTTCATACTTTGATTCTGGCACAAGAATAGAGTAACTCCTTTGCCAAAGGCTTCCCAATCCCTTTCACTATGCCAGGAGGTAGGGGACAGTCACTGGAAGAGGTTTACTCACTGGCTTCAACTTCCCTCGTATTGAATCTCATTCAATCGCACCAGACCGATAGCCACCCAAGTCTCAATGATGCCCAGCACCAAAGAGAACTCGCTCAAGCCAGGCAGAATGACGAGGCACCACTGCCGACAAAATCATTGACCGGGCAAAAGCAAAACAGCCTTACAATATATTGAAAATGAAGGAAAGTATAAACCACTTTAATCAAATAACATGGCTTTCCCCCCACAGAATTACACTTTCACAGCCACCCATTTAAACCATCAACAATGCACGCTCCCCCACGTAATTGTTCACGAAACTGTCCACTTTGTTTTCAACCGTTTCTGTACGAGGGCTTCTCCCATGGGCGGAGTTCGCAGGGTGGGGGGGGGGACACACGGGGGGGGGGGGGCACCTTTATACATTGATTTTCAGTGGCTTATAACGAAGCTTAAGAATAATTACTGAGATGCACCGGCGATTCCTAATGTGGGGGACAAAGCGAAGCTCTGCCTCCCGGCGCCCCTCCCCGGATAGAGAAGTCAAACTCCCGCCTATGCTTTATCCCCTTTCTGTCAGACGGATGAAGTGAACGGACACGCTTGGTGCACGTCAGTTTAACACGTAGGCTGTCGTCGTGTGTGGGGGGGAGGATTCTCACAGTACGAACATATCGCCGTGCTTAACAAAACTCTTGTTCTATGCCTGTTTGATAGCACGCGTGCGAGAGACACACAAAAATCCATGCCCTACCCGACACGCAGATGGCGTGGCGACACGAGGAAGACCGCCTCATCCCACTGACAGCACTCCACTCCACAGTTTACGATACGCGACACAACAGCTGGATCCCTATACGCGAACACAAGGCTCTAGGCATACAACACCGCACGTCACACCGTAGCAATGTAGACGCGTTAGAGAGACCGCCGCCGCTGCTGCAGCTGAACGCAACGTGTTTTACAACAGCAAGAACAACAAAGAAAATGCAAAAATAACAAATACAGCAAACAAAAATGTTACATAAATAATTGTTGTTAAATCCTCTTACAGATGTAAAACAACGAAACGACTACTGAACACTCAAGTGTAATTTAAAAACTGCCCACCCATCTCAAAATCGCGGGGAGTAGGAGGGGGAATGTGTGTGAAGACAACTACTTTATTAGTATCAAAGCCAGTTCTCAGGAGCAGACTTTACAAAACATTCCGTAGATTTCCCAGGAAATAGAGACCCTTAATTCGATAACAGCCCAGTCCCACCACTAATTGGGGAGATTTTCCCATGACCCACGGCATTTTTTTCACCCACTGTATTTTGTCAGGGTAATTAAAACTGACGTGATGATAGTGTGATGCATCTGCCCGTACGAGTTACAGTGTAAGTCATGGAATCTAGGCTGCCTATCCTCCTACACACCAAACATTTACAAATGCCAACATAGCATTCTGAAATCTATCCATGATTATCAAATACTCTACACTATTCATACTGCAGGGTGGATTTATACGGAGGGGTTTAACGCCCTTTAAATCACTGGTTGTGGCGGTGAATATCAATGTATGGATGCAATGCTAAGGCTACACAACACGCTCGCATGATGCTACTAGGGAGCATGATGTTCAGTTCTGATCATCACGCTACAGGGCGTCGCGGTGGCGAGATGTTAACTACGTTGCCTGGTATACAGGAGTTCGTGGCTTGTATATTTAGAGTTTGCGTGTCTCTCTCCTCGTGGCCGCGTGGATGTTTCTCCAGGGTTTAGAGTATATGGTTGCCCTAAATTCCCACGTGATTAGCCACTTCGTTGAGCTGTCATTTGTGGCCAGGTCACTTCTGAAAAACAGCTTTCTGTACTGTATAGCTCAGCTAGCGCTACCTGTTAAACTAAAACATAGTAGGAAGATATTCCTGGCCTGGAGGCAGTCCAGCAGACAGGTACCATAGAGTTATTGCTGGACTCAAAGACAGCTCACAACGCAGATAGCCTCAACATACAGAATCTTCCACAGAGCTCTGAAATCCGCGATCACTTAATCCAGGTCCATCGAAATCCATGCGCGACAGTGGTGACCACGTCGACCGGGACCGACTGCTGCAAGCCCAACTCGGAGAAGAAAAACCTGAGGCTGCTGTGGGAGAGTTCGGGGCAAACGAGGAATGGAGAAAGCAAGCGGTTGGGGAGTGTGGAGCCGGCCGGCTTGCCCACACGACAACACGCGTGGCGGAAGCTGCTGCTCGAGAAAATGCTCGGTGAGATTCTGGAACCGACGCGCTTAGGTGCCGTCCATAAATGACGTCGCGCGTTTTTTGGACGATTTTTGACCTCCCCCGCGCTCCCCTCCTCCTCTCGTCACACATCGTCACAAATGTCTGACCCCCCCCCCCTCTCCCCCAGGTGCGTGACGTCATTTATGGACGGCCCCTTACCCACAACGGAAAGATGCCAGACGGGGGGGGGGGCCCCCTCTGGTGCGTCACCTTTCCTACGTTCCGAGAGCGTAAAATGTGCCCCATTGCAGGAGTCTTTGCGCAAGATTACAGCGACAGGAAACGAGTCTCTGAGAAACAATGGCACTTCGCGCTACGACCCAAGCCCCCCCCCCCCCCCCCCGCATTGCAGCAGGAAGAATACCTGCCGTGGAACTGGCAGCAAAATCCACTCCATCGGAGCGCTCGAGCTTATGGGTGCATGCGTGAGTGAGTGAACGATGGATGGGAGTAGTCAGTCATTAGCACGGCTAAGCACAGATAAGAGGACCTGACCGTGGCGATGTCTCCCCCACATGGACGTCAGATGAGGGAAGTGTCACACGTTTGTGAATAAACAGGAGGAAGAAGCGTAAACCAGCCATGTGCTCCCCACCTGCTAGGATGCGTGATTGTTGTTGAGTGTGTGCGTTCAGTTGTATCTCTGTGTAGGCGCGTTTGTGTGTTTGCTTGACACATCTTTGGTACGCCTCGCTGTGTATTTGTGTCTTGCACGTCTTGCATATTGTAGGACTGTATTTTGTGCCTGCGATGTTCTCGTTATGTGTTAATGTCTGTGTGTATGTAGTGTTTGTGTGTGTAGTGTTTGTGTGTGTAGTGTCTGTGTGTCTGTCTGTGTGTGTGTAGTGTCTGTGTGTGTAGTGTGTGTGTAGTGTCTGTGTGTGTAGTGTTTGTGTGTGTAGTGTCTGTGTGTCTGTGTGTGTAGTGTTTGTGTGTGTAGTGTCTGTGTGTCTGTGTGTGTAGTGTTTGTGTGTGTAGTGTCTGTGTGTGTGTGTAGTGTCAGTAGGCCTCGGCTCTGGGTTGTTCTTCGTGCTTTTGGAGTCCCTGACCCTCTGCTCGCGATCATTAAGGACCTTCATGATGGTGAGCGGGCCCGGGTAAAACTACGGAGTGATGTGGTACAGGAGGACGTGGAGCTGAGTGGACTTGCCGATGACTGGTACCAGTGGTGTCAAGATCGGCCTCTGTGGAGGAGGCTCGTGAAGGATGCTACTGGGCAGTTGGAGGCAGTCGCCCTCCAACAACAACGGAGGGCGGAGGAGCGACGCTCACAACAACGAGCGGAGCGCCGGGTGGCTAAAACACAGCAGGTTGGCACAGTAGGGGGTACAGGTGGTTCATCAGCCAGTCATCTCAGTCATCTTAGTCAGTCGACCCGTGGCACTTGGGTCTGCCCCGTGACCTCCTGCCAGCGGGCGTTCGACACTTCACGTGGCCTCAAGGTGCACATGGCCTGGCACAAGCGTCGTGATGACGTCACCGCCACTTAGTGGCGAATGGCGGTTGTTGTTGTGTAGTGTCTGTGTGTGTAGTGTATGTGTGTCTGTGTGTGTAGTGTCTGTGTGTTTGTCTGTGTGTAGTGTCTGTGTGTGTAGTGTCTGGTCTGTGTGTCTGTGCGTAGTGTCTGTGTGTGCAGTGTCTGTGTGTGCAGTGTCTGTGTGTGCAGTGTCTGTGTGTCGTGTCTGTGTGTCTGTCTGTGTGTCTGTGTGTAGTGTCTGTGTGTCTGTGTGTGTAGTGTCTCTGTGTGTAGTGTCTGTGTGTCTGGTCTGTGTGTCTGTCTGTGTGTGTGTAGTGTCTGTGTGTGCAGTGTCTGTGTGTGCAGTGTCTGTGTGTCTGTCTGTGTGTAGTGTCTGTCTGTGGGTAGTGTCTGTGTGTGTGCAGTGTCTGTGTGTGTAGTGTCTGTGTGTCTGTCTGTGTGTAGTGTCTGTGTGTGTGTCATCCATTGCGGGAAGCGTGAGTGCAGCGGTTAGCGCATTGCGCTACGAACCCGAGTTAAATTCCCACTCACGGCCAACACTAATGACTATTATTCTAACTGGTTCTGGGCCTCTCCTAGGTCGACTCAGCCTCGAATTAGTACTTTGCTCGGTGTGCTGACCCCCCTCCCCCCCCCCCGTGTACCGTGCCATCCTTCACGGGTGCTGCTCGCTAACAGCACTTGCCCCAAACAGTCTGTGAATGCGACCCGGGGCACCTTTGTCTTTGTGCGAGTGCGTGTTGCGGCGATGTTCTTAC